CTGCAGTTTCGACTCGCACTTTGGCCAGGCGGGCACGAACTTGGACCCCTCGGGCGAGGCCTACCCGGGACCCAAGCCGTTCAGCGAGGTGGAGACCAAGGCCCTGGCCAACCTGATACTGTCCAAACGGGGCACAATCGCCGCCTACTTCGCCATCCACTCGTTCAGCCAGCTATGGATGTATCCGTACGGCTACACATCGGTGCCGCCCCCTAACTACGCCCAACTCGAGCGACTGTCCCAACGGGCGGTCGACGCCATCCGGGCTACCAGTGGCCTGACGTTTAACAAGGGAACTATAGCTCGAACTATTTGTAAGCCAGTTTGTAGGGTTGTTTGAATATGTAAATTATTTTTTAAAAATTATCTGGATCACTTTTTCAGATAAGGCATCCGGCAGTAGTATCGATTGGGCGTATGATAGCGCCGGCGTTAAAGTGGTGTTTGCGCTCGAACTACGTGAGTGACCATGGTCGTGTTAATTATAAATAAATTAATTGTTTAATATTGTGGTAGGTGATAAGGGACAGTACGGATTTATACTGCCGCCCAGCCAGATAAGGTCGGCCGCTACCGAGACCTGGGCTGGCATTAAAGCTGTGCTTGGTGAATTATAAGATATATATATTTTTTGTAACATTGCGCTCTGAATTTGATAATAAAAAGATATTTTTCAAAAATATGTTTATTTTCACACTGGTTATTTCAAAATAAGGTTTAACTGAGTAAATTTTTCAAAAATGTTTTAGCTACCCTTTGAAAATCTATTGGATATACCCTTGGATAAATTTTTTGTAAATGATTCTTTGAAATAGTGTTTATTCTTGCACATAATATTATAATAAATTCCCTGAAATAATTATTATTATTATCAAAAGTTATATTTAAGGTTTAAATAACTACCTAATTTCTTTTTATTGACCCTTTAATTAGAAATTTGTTTTAAACTTTATAAAAAATATTACATTAAAAATTAAATTCACTTTTATTATACAGACACAAGTGTTGGTAAAATTAATTTTTACTATTACATTATGTTATATTTGCTTTTTAAAACTAAAATATTACTTAAATGTATAAAGTATTATACTTGTTGTAAATAAACTAAAAATAATGTCATCAAAATTATTTAAAAGTTGTATATTTTATTTGTTTTGTTTGCTATTTATTTGTGAATTACGCGCTGATTATGTTGATTATAGTGATCACAAAATGATCAGGATAGAACCACGTAATTACCAAGATATTAACGATTTAAAAATTCTTGCCAACACATATAAAGTATATAAAGTATATTTATATGACCTTATTATAAACCCTTTAAATACAAAACCATGTTGCTATCAGTGACTATAAACTACCTGGAAAATATTTTATATCATTAAAGCACTGAATATATATATTAATTTATATTTACACGTAAACACACAGATACATTACTGGAATAACCCTGGTCTCAACCTACATCCAGTGCTAACAGTAGTACGAAATGACACGGACTTTCTGCAACAACTGACCGACAAAAACATATCTTATGTGCAATTGTCGGACAATTTTCAACGTGTCATCGACTCGGAGGACATGGAGAATGAGACCACACCTGACCTCCAGAGGTCGCACGAGAACTTCGACTATAACACCATATATCACCGCTACGAGTCCATTGGCAACCAAATACGGCTATTGGCTAAAATAGGTGCTTTAATCGGGATTGTTTTTGTTTGAATATATTTGATAACTATTATAATTTTTAAACTTATGATTAGATTCTCGAGTCACATATAAAAGCTATGGTAAGTCGGCAGAGGGACGGCATTTGATGTCCGTACATATCACGGATAATAGCAATAATGGTGGTAATCGGACTAAAAAGGTGGTCATTTTTGAGTGTGGTATCCACGCCAGGGAATGGGTGCGTACACATTACCATGCTACGTTTATTACTCAATTATAAAACTTACTAAAATGGAAATTCACTTTTCTAACATAGTGCTAATTATCGCTTTCTAGAAACAGAGATTTTAGTTTTTAAAAGTTATCAATATTTAAAAATAGATTGATTATAGATTTTGAAATGTCATGAAATACCAGTGTATTATTATACTCAAAATTAATTTCTATACATGATAAAAAGTATTAATAACTAGATCAAATACTATTAACAACTAATGTGAGCTCAACATTAATCAACATTTTATAATAATTAAAATATAGTATTTTTCATCAAAATCTGACAATATGTTATTTACTTTAAATCCCTAATAGATAGCACCGGCAACTTGTCTATGGATAATAAATCATTTGACAACCGACCCGCTGGATCAGACCCTCCTAAAAAAGTTTGAATTTATAATTGCCCCGTTAGTCAATCCGGACGGGTATGTCACTCCTTTATTATGACCATGATTCATTTAAATATTTTCATTTAAAAATTAATTTAAATCCTTTAAAATAGTTATGTCTATACGTATACCACGAACAGAATGTGGCTTAAGAATAGGTCACTTCAACGCAATGGCGAGTTTGGTGTCGATTTGAATCGCAAGTATATCATTGCAACAATATTAGCTTGCTACAATTTTTAAATTGGTTGCATAAAAGATTATCGCCAGGGTTTACATAATCTACTAAGCAATATATTAAATTTTGTTCAATTATAATGGATAGTCATTAGGTTTTATTAGAATGCACACATAATTAACTATACTGTACTGTACATGAATGTAAACATGCATCTCACAAACTGTAATGTATTAATTTTAAAATATCTATTCTAGGTAATTTCTATATACTACATAACCTTGGCGATAAATGTCGCAAGCCTTATATTTTATAAAATTTAGTCAATATAAAAATTAAAAATATTTGTATTTTCATAGTTTTGATGTTAATTTCGGGGGTATGGGCTCTAATAAGGATCCATTCAGTGAGGCCTACTGTGGACCGGAGCCATTTTCGGAGCCCGAGACCAGGTACCTGGCCCAGCTCATTTTGTCCCACTACGGTCGCATTGCAGCCTATTTCGCGTTTCACAGTTTTAGTCAACTATGGCTCAGTCCATACGCCTATAAGGTTGATAAGCCTTTTAATTATCGGGCCTTGGTATGTTTGACTACGTGTANACGGTCGCATTGCAGCCTATTTCGCGTTTCACAGTTTTAGTCAACTATGGCTCAGTCCATACGCCTATAAGGTTGATAAGCCTTTTAATTATCGGGCCTTGGTATGTTTGACTACGTGTATGACCATAGTAAAAATTATTGTGGATTCCGTTATACCGTTATATGATTTAACAAACACTTATTTTTATAGCAAAAATTATCACGTCGAGCAATTCAATCTATAGAGACAGCTACCGGTGCTAAATATACCATGAGGTCATTTTGCTATGAGGCTGATGGTAAATTATACACCAAGGCACATTTTGATTTAAAGCATTAAATTAAATTATTTATTTCAAAAAGGTGTATCACCAGGGACAAGTGTGGATTTTGTATTCGACGCCGCTAAAGTTAAAGTTGCATTCACGCTTGAGCTAAGTCGGTTACCTAGTTACATTAAATAATAAATAATTAATTATTTTAATAAAATATTTAGAGGATACTGGTCATTATGGTTTCATGCTACCAGCGCGAAATATTAGACATGCTGCCTATGAAGTGTGGGTGGGCATTAGGGCGGCGCTATATGTGATGTACCATGTTAAATTTCACGAAAGTTTATATTGAATTTAAATTCTGTTTTATTTGGTTAAAATGTTTGAATGCTTAAATTAACTGCAATTTATCTGGTTTCAAATTAAACTAATTTTTTAAAGTTAATTTTGAAATAGTTTAAAATGTATTTTTTATATTATTAATATATTAACAACAAAATTTAATTTTTACGTGGGTCCAATTGTTTAAATCGTATAAAAACACATAATTAATATGTTCTAAATAGTTTTACAAATAAATACTGTGTTTAATTTTTTATACAATAAGTAGACATTGGTTATTTTATATTATTTATTGAATTGCTTGTATTAAGTTATACTGGTACAATTTATTAAAAAGAATATTCCACGGTTAATACATTAAACTAAAATTTATATTAATAATTATTTAAATTTAATATAGCATTCAAATATCTATTACAAACAGATAACTTAATTTAAATAAAATGGATTTTGTTCAAAGATAAATTTTAAATTCTTAATCATAATGTTTGCATATCATTTACATAAACATCACTTACTTCTCTCTCCACTATTTTATCCTCCCATCCCTCCCATGCCATTCTGTCCCATCACTTCCACTCCCTTTTATATTTGTACAGCATTTATATTAGTATCCCTTTTATATAGCATTATAAATAGGCAATATTAAAACAGTAAATTTGTAAAAATAAAAACTATCTATTTATTTTGGTAAATAAATTATTACAATTTTTATTATATTAAATTTTCGATTTTTGATGATCCATTTTATTATGTTCCATTTAGGTACAGGGTTTATGCTCGGGTTCCATTAACTTTGCCACAAAAGTGCTCACAGCATTCGGTTGCACAGAAATCTCTGCACAACGCAAAAGTCATCATTGCTCTGACAAATCGACAGTCACGCGAACATTTTGGGTCCAAAACAGGTCACAAGTATTTTTTTTATAAAAATATTAATGAATATATTGCTATAAAATATTATACAGGTTATTAATTTAAATACTAAAACAAATGCTAACTTTAATTTATTAATTAAAAATTTACATGTTAAAACTTATATTTTATAGTTACAATACTTAAGTTATATTTTATATTTGATTTATTAAATCATGTATTGATATTATTTGAATATGAGTTATGCTTATAACTTGGTTACACTATTAAAGTTTATAAAAATGTATGACATATTCCATATGATTAAAATAAAGTTTTACTTGATAATATATTATTTATTAAAATATTGTAGTAAAAATTGATTTGATTTACAGTATAAAATGCTATTTAAAAAGCAATATAGACTTCAAATTTCGCGGTATCTAAATATGAACAAGGCCATTATCAGGAACAGTACGCTGGGCACCAGGTTCACGCCAAAACCAAACAGTATATTACTATTACTAAACTGCCAGCCCCTCAATATAATATTTCTCATAGTCTCCACAGGTATGGCCAATGGACTACACAAGTTGGCGTATCGGAGATACCTGTCCAACGACTCCAGGGGCCAAAACATACCGGAAGTGAACAGCTGTGGGGCGCATAAAAAGCCCAAAATTATGAGACAATGGTATTCCTCCTTAAGGGCCGCCGATATCAGTAGTCCTGATGTTATGGCATTGAGTGCTTCGGTGGTCAGGTAGGCGACGATCAGACACCCGGAGCCGTTGTTGTTGACCTCGTCGAACACCCAGAAGGCCGTCCCATACATAAGCAGTATTTGCACCAATGATATGACAAAATTGGTGCACAAATGCGATACGAGTACCAAATGATGGCTAACCCCGGCTATGAGGGACCTCTCAAACAGGCCGTCCTTACGCTCCTGAGTCAACACGAGAGACGATAAGACTATTTGCGATAAGTATACGTAAAATATGAGGTTCGCCGACAGGCCGGTGTCCTTAATCAGTAGGCTTTCCGATTGGACAGTCTTCTCGACCGTTATCGGTATCTCAATGGCCGTGAGATTGCGGTCACGCGTGAGTTTAGTCACGAACTTCAGTACACTCTCACTGAGTGAGTGCGTGAATGCGTTGCCAAACATGATGTGACTGTTGTCGAGGTACGTGTGCACAGCGCTGGTGTCGTAGACACTGACATCCAGGTCATCGCCCATAGGGTCGTCCAGTCTGTCGTCCAATGAGTCCGAGTAGTTATGTTTGAACCAAATGGCGCCAACGGCCGACCCGTTTCGCACCGCCTGTATAGCGCTCTGAAGGGTCGGGTGCATAACCGGCCGAATCAGGTGTCGCTCCACCGGTAATAGCGAGGCCAACAGCTCCGTACTGTAGGCCGGGTGCTCCGTGTCATGCCTTTCCTCGTTGAATACGGCGGCCGTGATCTCGATGAGGGGTCGGCTGTAGACCAGGCAGTAGATGACTACCTGAGTGGCCGGCAGTAGTATACATATCAGGGCGCACGACATGTTCATATACTTCAGTGCATTGCGTTTGATTAATATGACGATAATCCAGAGGTTAAACACCAGGGTATCGATCAGCGACTTTTGCTCGTCCAGTGATTTGAGTGGATTTAACACCCGATTTGGTTTGGGTTTGGGTTTCGGTTGTGAGTCAAAGTCGGCGCACAAATTCTGGTAGTTTTCCGCGTAAACCTTATTATCGTTATTATTATTATTATTAGTATACAGAATATTCTTGTAGTTGTTATTCACGACAATCCCGTTATTTATGTTATAGATGTTTGCGTTATTAACGGTATTTGTGTGACAATTCTTGTCAATATTATTCTCGTTATTCTTGTTAAGAATATTCTTATCGTTATTGTGATTATAATTATTATTTGTATTTGAGTTCACATTTCGGTGACAATTATTGTCTAACAAACAGAGTCTTAGGAAAACACTTTCCAACGACTTCTCGCCAAAATCGTCGCACAGTTTACGCGGGTTTTCCTCCGCCAATAGCCTCCCGTTCCTCATGAGACCCACTTTGTGGGCGTTAGTCGCCTCTTCGATATAGTGGGTGACAAACAGTATGGTAAGCCCCTCCCGACACCTCATATTCAGGTACTTCCATATGTTGTGTATGATGAGTAGGTCGATGCCCACCGTGGGCTCGTCCAGTATGACGAGGGACGGGTGGTTTAGTAGGGCACAGGCCAGGGATATGCGCCGCTGCTGACCACCGCTCAGGCTGTTTATAACGCACTCGTTTGCCGGGAGCTCCAGTAGTTTTTGAAGTTTTGCGTACCTATGGGTAGATAAATGTTATAATGTTATAATTGCATAAATCTATTTTGATTTTTTAGTATTCATAATTTAGTTAATTATTTTATTTTTACTAATGTTATCTATATACTTACAATGTATGCTATTATTGTAAATTTATTTTATATATTTATTATGAATAATAAAAGTATTAAAAGTTATAGTGAAATTAATAAATAATTATGTATAAACTGTAACATGTAATTAATTGGTGAAAATAACGTCTATATATGCTTGATAATTAAAAAATGTTTGGAGAGTAAAATAAGACAATAGAAATTTTAAAAAAGTTTTTTATTTGCAACAAATAAAAATTATTATTTAAGATATCGAGATTTATTTCTATACATTAATATAATAATTACTAATTTTTGTAATTTCAAATACTGATACTATTAATATGTGGTAATATAGATTTAAAATGAAATGTACCTGTTTGAAAACTCATTGCTGGATATACGATAGATATGCATAAAATACTGCAAAGTCTGGGCGACTGTGAACTGCATACAGAGGGCGCTATTCTGAGGCATATAACTGATCCGGTCGTTGGCGGCACCGGGCCTTTGGCCGAACACACTGATGAAACCTTGTTGCAACTTAATCCGACCTAGTATCATTCGTAGCAAGGTGGTTTTACCGCCACCGCTAGGTCCCAGTAACGCGTATATTTCACCGGCGTTCACTTGGGCGCAAAAGTTATCAAGCACATTTTGCTTACTGTACTTAAACGTCACGTTGTTTACGGATATCGCACTCATTACTCAATAATTTATAGGAAAATAGTTTTTAATTCAAAAAAACTTTTTATTATACGTTAAACATGTGCGGAGTTTGTATCAAAAACTTCGTGAAAATGTTTTTAATTTAAAATAAAAACACAGACTTAATAAATATTTTAAAATGCATTTACTTTAATGATTAATATTTTATATTAAACATAAAAAAATTATTACTTAAAACACTACATAACTGTTGTCGTAAAACATATAGTAGTTTCCGATGGCTTTATTAAACAAAAATATGTTTGTCTAATGTTTTTAAGCAAACAATTCATAAGTGCTTTTCAAAACACACACAAAAACTTTTTATGCATTCAATTCACTTCCAAGTGTTAAGTAATTGAAAGCCTTTTATCAATGATTAAAATTAAAAGTGAAAATAAAATACTCGTGTATTTCGCAGTGAAGTTCGCATTTTTGAGAGCACTTGTATGTAGGACAGGGATATGATAGAGATGTCTATAAATGATTTAATGAGTTATAAAAGATTTTTTTCTGAGAGTATGTAAGAAACTGGTTTTTATGTATAGGCTTTTCATACATAATAATAATGTTGTATTGAATTGTGAATATCAGGGAAAACACACATAAATCCTATTGTTTGCCTCAAATATGATATCATATTTTATGTGCAATTATTCACTAAAATATTTCACTGTTTGATGATTAAGACCATAGGATTATCATTGCGTTCACACGATATGTATAATATTATGGTGTTTTTGGTTGATTATAATTAAATGAGCAAATTGTATTAAGCATTAAAAACAATATTAATCTCATTTGAGAATATAGGTTAGGGTTTAAGAAAGTGAAAGTAAAAATAAAATATGATAATTATAAATTTAAAACGGCTAACGTTGATCAATTATAATTATTTATACAAAGTTAGAAAAAATTAATATCTTTGAATATGAAATCCAATATAATAATAAATTAAATATTTTCTTACAGTGAATTTAATAAAATCTTAGGTTTTCTATTTTAGTTGGAACTAGGTAAACCGATATGTTATAAATTTATTACATATAAAAATATTAATAAATACATTCACATAATTTTTGAGGTCATTTTCAGGTCAACTGCTAATTAGGTGAGCAGTGATATACAAAATACAATAATTTAAGGAAAATGTGAAAATTGTTTTAATTAAAAGTGTTTTGATTATTATCTCAAAGTCATTAACAAGTCGCATAGTAATTAATTACGCAACAGGGTAGACTAAATTATATTATAATATAATTTATATTTTATTAATTGCAATGGATGATTTATTTGTTAAGATTAACATTCTCATATAAAGTAATATTAATTCATTCAGTATCAAGATATTTATAATTTTAAGCATTTAGTAGTGCAGAATAATATTTTGATTTTAATTTTAATTTGTAAAAATAAGTCTCTCTCTCTCTCTCTCTCTCACACACACACACACACACATTGTCAGTCTATCTGTCTAAATCTACATCTACAACAAAATTTGTATTAATATAAAATCAATTGAATTATGTGTTCACACCCTTAATGTTACAAATTATTGCTATTTTTATATTCACAATACATTAACTCTTACCTCAAATATATGTCAAACTAAATACAATAAAATACCTGGTCAGTGTTAATATGGCATAAATTAGCAATGATTTCACGTCAAACAATAAATTTATTTGATTTTAGTATTAACTATATTTCACAGAAAATTTTATAATTTAATATAAAAATAGTGTTTTTGACAAATTTTAAAAATAATTAAAATTTCATTTCATTTCATAAAATTAATGTCAATTTTGCGAGAGAGAGAGAGAGAGAGAGAGAGAGATTTTGACATTTTATTCATTAGTAAACTTACAGTTTAATTAAGTATTAGTGTGTTACTAATTATAGCAACATATAATATTATCATACATTTTATCTGTAAAATATTTTTAAATTTTTCTTGCATAAAATAACATTTTTAAAATTTTAAATTCACTAGGTCTACCTAAAAAAATAAATAGTAAAATTATATTTTTTAGTTAAATTAAAAAATAGATAACAAAATCAAATTTATTAATGAAAAATTAATGAGCAATAAAATTGTTATTAATTAAAAATATCTCACAAAAGACAATATAAAGGAGAAAACAATAGAAAATTAATTTATTATTTAAATATATATAAGTTATAAGTTTTGATGTGTGAATAGAAAACCTACAAATTCAATTCAATTTAGCACACATTATATACAATCACTTTTTTCCGTATGAATAATAAATGTGACAAAAATGTTAGTTAAGAGGAGAGAGAGAGAGAGAGAGAGAGTACAATAGAATATTTAGTAATATTCTCTCTTTATATATTAAATTCAAGGACTGGATATAAAGAATCTCTCCCTCTCTCTCTCTCTCT